TTCGACTTTAAGTTAACATTAAAACGCAAATACTTTTTTGTTACATTCATTGGGGAAAATCGTGAGAAACGTAACTTTATGTAATTCAATATGGTGGAAACGCCCACTGGCGGCCATCTTGGAAACTTGAAAATAATTTCCAGCATTTTCCCTTGCCCACTTTACCTATAAAATTTTTTACCGTAGCTCTCTACGATCACTAGTTTCTGAGATACAGCCGCTTACCTCGCTTATTTGCCCACCCTGTACATCGTGTATTAAGCGAGATATATAGGAGTGGTCCTCTTATAGTAACAGCCTGTATAAAGGGCGATTCAGTGATAATGTCATTAATTTTTTATCTTAGTGCATTATTATTATCAACATACATAATTAAATTTGTGTATTTCTATGTATGAAGTTGATTTTTTAGAATTTTTCTTAACTTTATTCTGCTCATTGGTGGAAAATTGGGATATGTCTCATTAAAAACTGTAAATCTTCTGCTTAGAATCCCATTGCAACATCTGTGAATAAATAATAATAAACTGATAACAAAATAATAATGACTAATAATAAATAATAATAAAATAAATAATAAATAAATAATAATGAATAATAATAATAATAAATAATAACTGGTGACAGTTTAGTTGTTTGTTTTGAAGTTTTACTAAAAATTCCACAGCTATCCTCGCAAAATATTGCATGATTTTAGGTAATTACACAAAAGATAGTAGATAACTTAAAACTAGAAGAGATAAGTATAGGGAACCCTGGTACCGTTCGAAAAAGAATAAAATTGTGTATCAGAATATAGAAAAACATACAGGGTGTTCCTTTTAAAAAAAACGACTTATGAAGATTTGAAGTTAACACGTTCACCACGATTCGTACCCCAGGCGGTACGAACCACCGTGTATCTCTCTGACGAGAGCGCTAAAAGCCAAATTTTATGCAACTTGCAGTTGGTCTAACTTTGGCGATATTGGTCGTACTGTGCCGAATCTTGTAGCAGTCTTTACCAATTCAAATACCCGATTGGAGGGCGGTGTTTATAAGTTTCGTACCGCGGGAGTCACGAACCGTGTGGTGGTAATACTTTATTATCTATGAACGCTTCGTACCACCGGGGGTTGTGCTTATTCATGAGGTAAGAATACGTACTTTCTGTAGGTTACTGTTTTTATAATAGCAAATAATCAGTTTAGATAAAACATATAATCAACAATGACAGAACGATGAAAATTCTGCAACTAGCCAAGAAAGCTAACGTAAACCAGGCGCAAGATATCCCACGTGCTTCTAGCACTGTAACCAGCTTAGTGGACTATGACGGTTCTGAAACAAGTTCTGTAAGTACGCTTCATAATACCTCTGCACAAGTAGTATGTCATGGTGGTCAAGATCTGCCGTATCAGGATTTAACGGGTGGGACTGTTATAGTACCACTAGAAGATGTTCCCACTGTTCCAGCTTCACTTGTTGACCAAACTATTCAGAATGATATGACTGAAACTGTATCTTTAGGTCATAAAAAAGATTCTGAAAAGCTATCAAGTACCATACTTTTTTCTAATGAGAGAAAGCAAGATGATAGAAATGAGTACTATTTTTCTGACGAAACGAACGAACCTTTCTCTAGTGACGATTCTGTAGCTGATCGAACATACTTACCTTCTACATCATCAGATGACTCAGCTGTTTCAGAGGACGAAGTAGATTTTAGTTTTACAACAAGTAATACGAATGCAGGGGAATTCGATTGCGAAGAAGAAAATGAAATAGATGAAATCTGGAAAGATATTCAAGAAATTACTGCAGAATATAAATTCCAAGGGCAATCAACGTCCGTGATAAATGTTGACTACACTGAAATTAAGGAACCCATTGACGCATATAACTTATTTGTCTCTGACGAAATTATCCGCATGATATATTTCGAAACTAATAGGTACGCAGCTCAGTCACAGAAGAATCAAGTAAATAATAATTCATGGACGGATACAGATACGGAAGAGTTGAGAGATTTTTTCGCCATTGTAATAGCTATGGGGTTAGTGCCTTTACCAGCTCTCCATCTGTATTGGTCAAAAGACGAAATATTTGCCAATAAATTTGTTTCATCGATCATGCCTCGTGATCGTTTTATGACGATTTTGAAATATTTACATTTTGCAGACAATACTTTCCTGAGCGGAAGTAATCGACTATATAAAATCCAACCTCTTATAAATATGTTGTCGTCCAGATTCAGGGACGTTCTTATGCCAGGAAAAGAAATTGTAATTGATGAGAGTATGATCCCTTTCAGGGGGAGGTTAGTTTTTCGCCAGTGCATACCTAATAAGACGCATAAATACGGCGTAAAAATTTATAAACTGTGTACATTAGAGGGCTATACGCATAATTTCATAATTTATACTGGTAAAGGCACTACTACACATGAATTTCCACATGCTGAGTTTATCGTGTATAAACTACTGGAAAGTCTCGATGAACGTGAAGGAAGAATATTATATGCAGATAATTTCTACTCCACTGTACCATTAGTGAAAACACTATACGGAAGGAAAATGATGTATTGTGGTACTCTAGGTTCTAATAGAAAGGGGATACCCAAATCATTTTCCAAAAAACTAAAAAAATGTGAGGTATATGGACAAGAATATCACAAGCTGAGAGTCATTAAATGGATGGATAAGAGGCCGGTGATGATGATAACTTCGAATCCTCTGCATACTGACAAACTTGTTGAAACTGGAAAGAAAAATAGAAACAAAGATACAGTAAAAAAGCCACAAGCCGTCTTAGATTACAACAATGCCAAAAAAGGAGTAGATCTCAGTGACCAAATGTCCTCATACTTCACCGTCTTGAGAAAATCCCTAAAATGGTATCGAAAAGTAGCTTTTGAGCTATTATTTGGTACGTCTGTTGTCAACGCATGGGTTGTATACAAAAAAGCTACAAACTCTAAAATTTCAGTGTTGGAGTTTAGAAAAGCTTTAGCAACTTCATTAACTCAGAGAAAATGTACAAAGGAAAAGGGACCTAAGAAATCCGTACATACTTTTGTCAAGCCAGAAGGCTCAGGTCGTAAATCACGGAAGAAATGTGTAGGTTGCTATAAGAAGTTGAGAGCAATATTGTCGAGCGTTGAAGCTGACAGAAAAACTAGGAAAGTGATCAGTTTTTGTAATGGATGCGATGGTAATCCCGGTTACTGTTTGGACTGTTTCAACGAATTTCACAAGAACTGACATTTAGTGCTCATGAGTATATTTTTTAGTTTATTTTTTTAGTTATTATTATTTCAAGCTAAATATTACAGAAAAACCTTTAACTAAACTTTTTCGTCTTTTATTTCCTGTAGCATTTCTAACGGTTTCGTTTTATTACTTTTAAATCAGTCACCATGGACGAATGAATAAAAAAACACCAACGAATTTAAGCAGAAAAAAACATTAAAATTATTCAATTTTAAAATAATTTCTAATATTTTTTATTTTTTAGTAATTCATAACAGTAAGACATTGTAATGTCTGAACTAAATTGCAAAAATGCGGGATAGAGATACATATTATTATTTAGTAAATTGTAAACAGTTTTTCGTCCTTTGCTCGATTCAGCATGGAATTTACATGGAAATAGCAGATTTTGCATCTAGACTACTCGAATAAAGTACATACAATTCTAAATTACTTTTTTTTGATACCAATGCTCTTTTCTTCTGAAGAGAAAACTTGCAAATGCTCTTAGATTAACTGTGATATTGTCTTGCAAGGTGTATAAATATAAGGAATCATAACTTCGCTAGTTGTAAAAACTAACTGTCCCTATGAAGAACTTAGATAAAGCGACTTTAATTTAACAAGTAATAAAGAAGTTTTACCAAAATTAATAGAAAACAATGGTAAAATTTCAATAAATATGAAAAATTTAGTAGGAGTCTTCGGGACGCCAGGGACCCGAAATGCGTATTAAATTAAACTGTAATATTTTACATCCGTGGCGAACGTGTTAACTAAACTCGGCATTAAATTTCTAGCACCCTGTATGCAGTTAAGCCAATTTGAAAGTATAGATGGGAAGCTTAGGGGTCTAGCTATCCCCCCAATAAATATTGTTGCTTTATCTTTCTTACTATAAAATACACATGGTTTGAAGCTAGTCACTGTTTGTCTCCATTTTTTTGAAAAAAATTAAATATCTCGAAAACGGTTAATTTTAGGAATAGGGAAACTTCGTAAAAGTCCACCAAAAATAACACGTAGAATCCTAAATTGCAATAATATATAGGGTGTTCCATTTAAAACAAGCTAGTTGATGGTGACTTCCGGTATAACCGGAAGTGATATGTGGACGCCATTAATTAATTAATTAGTCGAGAAGGGCATGCCCGAAAACCCGGTATCCCAAATTTTCAAAATTCAAGTCGAAGTAATCTCTGAAATAATTCTAATGGGCCGTCACCGTGAGATACCCTGTATATATACAGGGTGATTCAGTCATAATGTCATTAATTTTAATCACGTATTCGGAAGACTTAATAAAGACAGAAAATCGGAAAAAAAATTTTTTACTCGACTTTTAAAAATGAAGGAAATCAACCCATAACTCCCGCTAAGAAGGCGGCCCTGCCAGATGCCCGGATGCTCGGAAGATGTTTGTAGGCACACTGTATTTTATTAAATAAAAAAAGTCGGCACACTAGCGTTTATTCAAATCTACCACCCTTCATATCTCCCGCATTTTTCCCGCAAAGGAGTTAACATAACACATTTTCAAAAAGTTCAAGCTTTAGAAGCAGCTGATTTCCCCAATCGTCTTGAATTTTGCAATTGGTTCCTAAGTGTAGCAGAACTTTATTAACAAAGTGCTCTGGACGGATGAATGCTGTTTTACTGGTGCTGGTATTTTAAACAGGTAAAAAACATAAGTATTGCTTTCTCAAAAACAATAAGTGCCTACCTAGGTTACACCAAAGTTTAGATTTACACTAAAGTTTACATTTATTATGTAAACTTTGGTTATACGCAACTGCATATTGAATAAACAACTGAAATACTAAAACTGTGTATTATTTAACATAATAAATTATAAAACGTGAAAACGTTAATAATAAAAATGATAAATTGTAATAACCGTACATTCGAAAACAATCATCCCTATTCATTGATGACACGATTTTCCTTTGATAAAAGAGGGACAACTTTTTGCTCTACTTTGCATGGAATACGATCCTACTAAAGTGCACACGTGCAAATTAGAAGGTTATTGAACTCGACACAGGTTGACCTAGGTCGGAAATACGTACCGAGTTGTTTATTTGTCTCCGTCCGATTGTATTTTTATCTTCTATTACTTACAGTCAATATTTAAATACTACATACATTTCACCCTCTCTTTATAATTTATCTAGTGAGTGTTGGTTTTTTATGTCATTATTTCTGTAATGAAATTGAAATGGTTATGAAATGAAATTTAAATTATTTGAACTCTTGGGGTTTTGTAATTTCAATATTAAATTTTATTTAAAGTGAAACAGAGCTAATTTCTTTGCAGCCATAATAGTCACATTTGGTCACATGAAAACCCGCACACTACTCGTCGGTTTAGCTTTCAAAGGAGGTTGGGTGTCAATGTATGGATAGGAGTATATGGCGATCGTTTAATTGGGCCGCATTTTCTACCTGTACATCTGAATGGGCCGCGTTACTTTCAATTTTTAGTAGAAGGCTTACAGCAAATTAAAAAATTATCACTATGATGTTAATAAAAAATGATTTTTGGCAAGTCATGCTCAGACCTCCTCAAGGTTCTTGCTGGGCAACAATAACAATTTAATATGTTGATTGCATAATTATAAAAAAATAATGTATAGCATTTTAAATTATTATTGGCTGACGTGAGTAAACCGTTTATTTATAGTCTTTATATGTGCGAAAATATATAAATATAACAACATTGCATCATATCGTAGCCGGCTGATGACAGCCGATCAGTAACAGCCTGAAAAGGGGGTTAAATAATGATTTGAAAATATTTTTTTTCAGCTTAAATATGCATTTAATTTTTTTTAATCACGTCATCGTATTATACTCATTTTTCTCTATCTGCTCTTAAAATTAATGACCTTATGACTGAATCACCCTGTATACAGGGTGATTCAGTCATAATGTCATTAATTTTAATCACGTATTTGGAAGGCTTAATAAAGACAGGAAATCGGAAAAAAAATTTTACTCGACTTTTAAAAATGAAGGAAATCAACCCATAACTCCCGCTAAGAGGGCGGTCCTGCCATATGCTCGGATGCTCGGAAAATTTTGTAACGTAATGTCACGAACAGTTGTCGACTGAAGCGAACAGCGTTGCCAAGTTCACATCACATTTACTATGGGTTCCCCGTTCCGCGTTAAATGTATTCAAGTAAATAAAGGTGCATGCTGCATTTTATTATAAATAATGTTAACAAGTTAATACATTAACTTAGTGCAGAATGTTTTAACAAGCCTGACTTCTCGAAGTCAACTTTCGTTAAAAGAAAATAAATAAAGCAGAGGTAGTTACCTGTTTGTAGGCACGTATTTTATCAAATAAAAAATGTCGGCACACTACTAAATACCTGAATATACAAAATACACTACACGCGGTTACAAAACCATTAACAATTTGAAGCGTTTATTCAAATCTACCACCTTCCATATCTCCCGCATTTTTCCAACTGCATCTATCATACCATACAGCGCAGCGAACGTGCAGGACATCGACAAATTGACTCAAATGCGATAGAGGCTGTTTTAAATTTAGTCGAGGAGCAGCCTACTATTTCCACAAGAACAATTTCAAGACGACTGGAGATATCACAAACCAAAGTTTGGCGGATATTGCGCGATAATTCACTCAACCCGTACCATTTTCAAAAAGTTCAAGCTTTAGAACCGGCTGATTTCCCCAATCGTCTTGAATTTTGCAGTTGGTTCCTGAATCGAAGTGAAGCAGACCCTAACTTTATTTTTATTTTTAAAACAAAGTGCGCTGTACGGATGAACGCTGTTTTACTCGTGCTGACATTTTAAACAGGTAAAAAACATATTACTTTCTCAAAAACAATAAGGACCTACCTAGGTTACACCAAAGTTTATATGTACACTAAAGTTTATACTCGTATTTATTATGTAAACTTTCTTTATACGCAATTGCATATTGAATAATAAATTGAAGTACTAAAACTGTGTATTATTTAACATAATAAATTATAAAACGTTAAAACGTTAATAATATTAAAAATGATAAATTGTAATAACCGTACATTCGAAAACAATCATCCCTATTCATTACATTCAATTTTCCTTTCATAAAAGACCGACAACTTTTTGCTCTACTTTGCATGGAATACGATCCTACTACAGTTCGTATTAGTCTAGGAGCCAGATAGGGTTCCGTTTACTAACTATAAAAATAAACTTTTTACAGACATTTAAACATTTAATTTGTCGATAACAATTAAACTGACCACTTTAAGGCTTTTTGACCAAGTTTTTTGGATTCAGGAGCTCAAAATACTACGAATAAGTTGTTTGCAGCCGTGGCACTCTGGTTGGCCACGGCACCCTATCTGGCTCCTAGACTATGCACACGTACACGTGCAAATTAAAAGTGGGTCAAATAAAAAGGTTATTGACCCTA